TTCCACCAGGTAATCCCAGGGCAGGACTCGGGTGCCCGGAGAGCTCTCACCCCAAAAACTACATCTTCGCCCATTCGCCTGACCCCTTGGGCCCTCCGGGGGGCAGGCAGCGCCCATCCTGCCTGGGTCGCGCTCCCGGCTCAGGGTGGGAGGAGGGCAGGGCTCGCCCAGGGCCGTCCAGTCCCCGAGTGAAGCGCCAGCTGCCCTGTCTGGGCTCGGATTCCTGGCTTCCCCTGCGTCCTCCCAGGCTGCCTCCCGGGGAGCTGGCGGGCAGCACCGCTGGCTGCCGCAGAGCAAAGCGCAGGAACAGCACGTTCCCAGGACGTCACCCAGCTCCCGGGGCAGCTGTTCTGGAAAATCACCGAGCTGCACAGCAAAAGCGGCTCCGAATCCCCGGATCTTCCCTCTCCTTGCCCCCCACGGGCCCGGCTTTTGTAAAAGGGCAAAGGGAAGGGCGAGTGAGAGTCAGTTCAGAGAACCGAAGCCCTCTGCCCCCTTCCTCGGCCCCTTGGGCTGGACCCGGGCGCGGCCCGTCTTTTGTCTGAAATAAGCCGCAGGACCGACTGCTCCGTGCAGTGCTGTCGCTACTGCAGTTTTCACACGGCCGCCCGCCGAGCTGCAGGATGGAGCGAGATGGACACTGGAGGGCCAGCCGCGCGGTGGGGCTGGTCCTCGGCGAGTGCCCAGGACCGGGGTGAAGCTGTGACCCGACAGGCCGGCGGGCAGCACAGCCAGTCTCCCCCCGGCTCCCTCCCGGCTCTGCCCAGCTGCACTCGCTCGGGAGCTGAGTCCTGGCACAGGCGACGCCCCTGCTGGCCACGTGAGGTCCGCAATCCCCCCGGCCAGCTGTCCAGCACCACGCGGGCGGGGCTTTCCCTCCCCCGCTGGCTCCGGCTGCTGGGAACCGGCCGGCCCGGCCCCCCTGGGCCGCGCCCCCAGCAGACAGCACGATAGGGCCACGTCAGACCCCCCGAGAGCCAGGCGCTGACCTGGGCTTGGTTTGGTTGGGTGACAAGGCACGAACACACAGAAGACGTCTACAAACTTCTTGTTGGAATCAGAAGCAGGCTCTCCTTGGATCGATCGCCCCTCCCCGGTGTGTGTGTGTGTGTGGGGGGGAAGCGGATGACAACCTGTTTTTAAAGGCTCAAGAGGAAAAGTCTCCTTGCATCTGTAACAACAGTCTCAGGGGTCAGTCCTCCCGGCCTGGGCACGGGGGCTCTGTCCCCGTCAGTGGAGACCTGGTCTCGTCCGAGACGTCTGCAGTGGCAGCCCTGGAGCCGGGGAGGGGTCGGCGTCCGCCCCTTTCCCTGGGAAAGACCAGGCTGCACCCGAGACAGGAAGGGAGAGGTGCAGCGACTGCCACGTCCTGCCGTGTGTGGGTCATTCCGTGACCCCGGGCTCCTCTGACAGCACTTTGCCCCTGCATGTTCCCAAACGTCTGGAGAATTCCCACCGGCAGCCAGCCGCGGAGGTCACTGGCCCGACCCCGTGCGGGCAGGGACGGCTCCTTTGCTTCTGCACGCGCCGTGGGGCCGGCGGAGAGCCGCGGTTTCCTGTGCTGGAAACCGGAGGATCATCATCTCGGCCCTGAACAAGTATCCGTCACAACCTGAAAGCCAAAGAAGCCCTTGGATCACTGCATTTCGGTTGGGAGCCTCTGGAAGGTCCCACTGCCTGCGTTTTCTAAACTGTAAACCGTTACGATTGCACAAGGTGTGTCTCTGTAGCTCCAGCCAGTTCCTCCGAATAACCCACTTTCTGAGGGATCGCGATGCGTTTTCTCCTCTGGTCCCAGGCGCCGGGGGGAGGGAGGCTGAGCCGGCCCCGTCCATTTGACCCACCAGGAAACAGAGACTCTCGGAGGTTTCTGGAAATGCCAGCGTCACTCATTTCTGCGAGTCAGATTGCAGCTCGGATACAAAGAGACGGCTCCGTGCTAACAGGGAAAGCGGCTAGGAGAATTCTCTGAGTGTGCAAATGGGGTTCCGCTACCTTTCGTGTGCGTCCGTGACCGTTTTAACTAATACCCGTGTAAAAACCACCCTTCCTGCCGATTTCCTTCAGCAAGTCGTGACCATGGGCTGCTTCTCCCTCTTGTCCGGGGGGAGAGCACAGTCCGATCCGGGCACGAGATACGCACAAGCCACCAGGGAGTAAATCTGCAACTGAAGATCGTGCGGTGTGTTCCACCCAGTCCCCTGCCCCGCCCCACGAGGCCAAGTTCTGAGTGACGTTATTTCTGTTTATCCGAGTCTCCTCCCTTCCACGGGGCTCACTGAGAGTCTGCAGGCCTCGGGCTCCCCGCCACAGCGCGGATGGTGCTGGGAGAGCACCTGCCCCGAGAGCAGGGGACGGGAAGCCAGCCGAAGATACACAGTGCTCCGCTCTGTGCCGGCAGGCCACAGGCACTTGGGGGAGGCCGAGCACTGCGTAGTGAGGTGGCGTGAGCCGACAGACAGACACCGTGCTTCCCCGAAAATAAGACCTACCCATAAAATAAGCCCTAGCAGGATTTCTAAGCACTTGCACAATAGAAGCCCCACCCCGAAAATAAGCCCTAGTGATGGGCGTGGCCACGCAGCTCATCTACCCAACCCATGCGTGTCGTCGCGGAGCGGGAAAGAACACGAGCAGCCCTTCCCGTCTGCCCCGTGAGAGCTCTAGTGCTCCACAGGAGAGATCGGGGCCAGTGGTTCTAAAGGAAATAGAGTCACAAGACATTCAGGATGGAATTTGGGCTTTGGAGAGTGAGGATGATGTTCCAGAAGAGGACGATTTAGCTCTATTTGAGTAAATGCAGATTGTTGTACTGTACTTAAAAGAAATAACACATCCCCTGAGAATAAGCCCTAGGGTGTCTTCTCGAGGAAAAGTAAATACAAGACCTTGCCTTATTTTCGGGGAAACACGGTAGTAGCACAAGACGCAGGGGCTCCGAGGGGAGGAGGCGGGCACGGCTGCTCAAGGGGGCTGCCGCCAGCGAGGAGCCCTAGAGCGTGGCAGAGAGAGCCCCCGACGGGCTGTTCCTGAGATGCAGAGCAGCCAGGCTGCAAAGCCTGGGGCACCGAGCTGTCGCCCTGGAGCTGACGGTGCTGGGTGAGCGCCCGACAGCTCGCCCTCTGCGGGGAGGGAGCGTGATTTGCAGCACCTGCCGATTTCTCTGGTGTCCACGCTCCCGCGCGGCAGACGCTGAGCCGCAGACGTGACACCACGGGAGGCGGAGAGGGGAAGATGCACACTCGGTGGGCGGGGCCCGGAGCCAACTCTGGGACAGCAGTGGGACAGCATCTGACGGCAGGACAGGAGCCCAGGAGGTGACGTCCTCGGAGCCCTATGCCTGTCTCCTCCTCGGAGCCTCTCAGGAGCCCACGGGCGAGGGGCTCCCCCGGGAGCAGGGCGGGCAGACCCGGCACACCCCTGCCGGGAGCGCGTCTTGCCTCGGTGCCGGGTGTGCGCAGGGAGGGACGCGGCTTCTCTCCCCCTGACTCTCGGACAAATCAGTGACCGCAGGTGCAGTCGTGGCATCTGGCAGGGAAGGGGCCGTGGAGCCAGTTTGTTCCCTCCCTCGGTTAAAGCAGAAATCTCTTTTCAAAGGGACACTTTTGGGAGTGGCGGTCCAGCTCTCGGCCTTGCACACAGCCCCGGCTGGGAAGTTCGAGTCATTGGAGACGTTTCTTTGCTCCCCTGGGGTCCCGTTGCCACCGTCCTTGGCCTCACTCCCTGGGCCCTGCCGCCATTGCTCCTGTCCACACCCCATGCCCGGCTGCGGCCTTCCCACTGCCCTGTTCCTCGCCATCCTTCACAGCCCGAGGAGTGCCCGGTCTTGCAGAACCGGCCCTCGTGCGTGTGAGGATGCATTGTCTGCACGCACCACCCACCCCGCCCCGCCCTGGCCACCGCCACCCTCGCTGTTTCCTGAGTCCAGTCGTGGGTGCACGGAGCTGGCCAAGGACAGCAGTGCAGCATCCTTCCTCCCCGCATGGCCGCGGGCTTGATGGCAGCATCGGCCCCACACACAGTGGGTCTGACGCCAGGCTGGGCTCCGCGCCGCACTCGGCAAGCTGCGCCTGTGCCCTGCCGGGGCTGGAGCGGCTGCAGCCCACTGCCGGGCACCGGCCGCACGTGTGTGTCTGTCCCTCCCAGCTCCCGCCCGCCTGGCAGCCCTCCCAGGACGGCCGAGCCGCGCCGTGCCTTGCAGGGCAGGAGGCACCGGCTGGCACGCTCCCCGCTCCTCCTCGGCGTGTACTGGGAGTGTGACCTTCCACCGTGGAAGCCGGAGACTGAGCTTCGCAGGAAGGTGGCCGGGCCCGTCCTGGCTCCACCGCAAGCTGTGTGGGCTGAGGAGAACCCCGCCCGGAGAGAGAGGACCGGTCATCCGTCATGAGGAGGAACCACCCGGGTGAAGACTGGGGCGAAGCCACGCCCAGCTGCCCCGGACGATGTCTAAGTAGATTCCAGGGGGGTTGGATCTGCTTGCTGTGCTGTGACAGAAAGCGGTTTGGGGCGGGGGGGGGCGCTGCCTCGGTTTCCCCATCTATCAGATGGAGTCAGTGGCCGTCACTCCTTGCTTCATCCTTGGGCGTATGCGGCAAACCACTTCAGGCAAAGGATGTGCGTGACATTCTCGTCGGACACCAGGGATCTGTAAGACGGGGGCCCAGTGGCCGGGACCGGAGAGAGATCCTTCTAGATCATTTCAGATTCTTTTTGAGACAGAGTCTCACTCTGTTGCCCAGGCTAGAGTGAGTGCCATGGCGTCAGCCTAGCTCAGAGCGACCTCAAACTCCTGGGCTCAAGCGATCCTCCTGCCTCAGCCTCCCGAGTAGCTGGGACTACAGGCACGCGCCACCATGCCCGGCTAATATATATATATATATGTTACTTGGCCAATTAATTTCTTTCTATTTTTTTATAGTAGAGACGGGGTCTCGCTCTTGCTCAGGCTGGTTTCGAACTCCTGACCTTGAACAATCCGCCTGCCTCGGCCTCCCAGAGTGCTAGGATGACAGGCGTGAGCCACTGCGCCCGGCCTCATTTCAGATTGTATTCCCCGCGTGGGGAGCCTCCTGGCTTCTTGTCTTGGGAGCCCTCGAGCCCCGTGTCCTTGCAGGGCACGGCCGGTGTGCAGCAGGCAGGCCTCTGGCCCGAGAACCCAGTCCGAGTGCTCAGGATGAGAAGGTGGCTCCCGTCTGGGCTTAGCGATCCCTCTGTTCCGAGAAGAAGACGACTTCTGCCGAATGACGATCCGTTTATGAGCGATTGCGTCCGATTCGCATCTCATCTTGCCCCCCGCCGATGCTCACCCTTTCAGGACGTCATAAGGAAGGAATATTAGGGAAAGATGCATTCTTCCGGGCGGAGCTTGGCAGTGTCTGCTGGGATCGGTCCGTCTTCCAGAACGCCGGGTTGGTGGGACCGTGCAGCCTGTGGGGCTTCCCGGCGAGGGCACCTCCGCGCCACCCCTGTTGCGTGTGGCAAGCGCCCCTCGCCCTCTCGCCAGCCCGAGCGCGTCGCCGTGAGCCAGGCTGCCGCGTGGTCTCCTCCAGCTGAGAGCTCTCTGCGCCGGAGCGGCTCGGTGTTTGCATAGCAATTAGTTTGTATTCCTACAGAAATTTCCACGGATTCAAGTTCTCCATAGAGAGAACGAACCAGAGGGTAAACTGAACCGCAGATTAAAGGGCTCGTGTCAGGCAATTCTTTGAACGGTTTTTACGGTTTTGAACCGTCATTATTTGTAATATTCTCTGAAAAGCCGGCAAATAATTGTTTTCCCCCTACTGATTTGTTCTTCTCCTCTTAGCAAATATTGATTCTCTGCAACCACCCCCCCCCACCCTCAAACCGGGTGCTGAATGGAACCGAAATTAACAGGGCTGCCTTTGTTTTAATACAATGAACAAAAACTTGCGCTGGGAGGGTTCTTGTCCTGCCAGCACATCTGTGCGGGGCCCAGATGGCGGCCGGGCTCTGGAAACGGGGTGCGCGTGAGCCGAGCGCTTCTGCAGAGTCAGCGGGGAGCGGAGACGCGGCATTTTATATCGGCCCTACGGAAATAGTAGCGTTCGAAAACCTCTTGGCAACAGAGGGCTTTTTTTTTTTTTTTTTTTAAGACTGTGCTAAGATTGTGGGACTTCCCCGTTAGATAACTAAGTAGAGAAAAGCCCGGTGTACAACCGGCAAGTCTGCTCGCAAGTGCGGCCGCAACTCTCCCTTGCTGGGGCTGATGCCCGGGGTAGATCTGACCGTCGGGAAGAGGCCGCATGGCTTTTCCTTCCACCAGCAAAACGTTATGGAGCGCCTGCTGTGTACGGGGCACAGGACAGGCGGTCGGCGGGGGACTCTGCAGAAAGGGTGCGGAAAGGAAGGTGCAAACTCACCATCTCCCCGCACCCAGTTTCGCGGTCTGTTAAGGCCCCGGCGTTCATTTCGTCGTTTGGTTCTGATGCGGGGGGGGGGGGGGAGGGCTGCTGTCGTGGCTGTGAGGACCCGGTCCCTCTGTCTTCTCGGAAAGCAGGTGTCTCCCGACCCATCCTGGGAGAGGTTTGAACTTCCAATCCACGGAACCATGCTTACTGTAGGTGTACTCGCGCACTCCGCTTCTTTTGTTCGAAACCGTATTTCTGGGCTTCGTTCTGTGTGGCTGTTGTTCTTTTTGCACCCATACAGACATTCCAGTGTATGGAACTCGCCGCGATTTATTCATCTCTTCTGTTTTTCATGAAGATTAGGTTGAATACTGCTTCTTCTTCTTTTTTTTTTGGACACAGAGTCTCACTCTGTTGCCTGGGCTAGAGTGCCGTGGCGTCAGCCTAGCTCACAGCAACCTCGGACTCCTGGGCTTAGGCGATCCTCCTGCCTCAGCCTCCCGAGTAGCTGGGACTGCAGGCATGCGCCACCATGCCCGGCTAATTTTTTTCTATAAATTTGTTTAGTTGTCTGGGTAATTTTTTTCTATTTTTTTAGTAGAGAAGGGGTCTCGCTCTTGCTCAGGCTGGTCTCGAACTCCTGAGCTCAAACGATCCTCCCGCCTTGGCCTCTCAGAGTGCTGGGATTACAGGCGTGAGCCACAGCGCCCGGCCAATACTGTTTCTTGGCCATTTGGGTTTTTTCTATTTTGAAGTGCTTGTTATAGGCCTTTGTCTCTTTTTCCATTTGGCTGGTTGTTGTCTTACATATGGGTGTTAGGGCTTCTTTATAGAATCTGGAACCTCGTCACTTGGGGTGCGCATGCCACAAACTTCTCCTGGGTGGTGGTGACCCGTTTACCCTGAAGGGTGTGTTTTTGGTGACCGTAGATTACGGATTTTAATGTAGCTGAGTTTATGCATCTTTTCCTCTAGAGATGATGCTTCTTTGTATTTGGGTTAAGAATCTTGTTCTGTCCAGAGTTTTAGAAGACGTTCTCATGTTGATATAATTTTAAAACATTGTAGTTTTGCCTTTCCAGTTTAGACCTATTGAAACCAGTTTGCTCTGGTTTTCCTGGGACCATCCCAAAAGCTCGGAGTCCTGGGAACCCCTCGAGCCTGGCTACACGGGGACAGATGGTCACTTTACCTACAGCTGAGCTGGGATTGAATCTTTGGATATGGTGTGAGTTAAGGATGTGATTTCCTGTTTTTCCCGAGTGCGTGGTGACTGGTTCTAGCGCTGTTTATCAGAGAGCCGCTCCTGCCCCCCCTGCAGGAGACTGTCACCCCAGCAAGCCTGGGGAGGGACGGCGGGCATCGATCCGTTCCCACTCCCTGAGTGCGCTCGCTGCTTTTAATCTTAGCACAGAGGAGGCGACGAGAAGCACTGCGTCTGTGCCTGCCAAGTTGACCACGGAGCAAAGCGAGCACTTCCTCTCTTCGGGCTGTTCACGGCCTGAGGAAGGGCCACGATTCCGGCTCTCGGATCAGGTGGCTCCACTGCCGGCGACCCAGTCATCCCAGGAGCATCCTCCGGCGTCCCGGCGAAGTCGCTGAGGGATCCGGTCACTCTTGGGGCTCCCCGGCCTCCCTCCCTGCCATACCTGTGTTGCAGGAAGACTTTGGGGGACCCCACTGTGGACTCCCCACCGCGCAGACGGCCCTCCTGGGGGCGCCGTGGCTGGGCGAGGCGGCCCCGACAGGCAGGCCCCTCGCTTCCCGCCGTCCCGCGGACCCGAGGGGGACCCCTGGCCTGCTCGTGCCGTCGTGGGTCTCCCGGCCCTCCTTCTGGATTTCGGGAGCAGGAGTCTGGATCGGCCTCCCCGCTGCCCTCGCGGGAGGTGGGGGAGGGAGAGGGCAGGTGCAGGCGGGGGCTGGGCCCACAGCGCCCATCCCAGGCTGCCAGGAAGGTCTCGGGGACGTGTCCTGGAACCGGCCCCCTCCCTCTCCCCTCTGGGACCGTCTGTCTGCGGCCAAGCCCCGTCCCACGACCTACTGACTCCCCTCCTGCCTCCGGCCGCCACCTCCAGGGAGGGGAGCGGAGTCCAGAGCATGCAGGGGCGAGGCTGGAGGGACCGAGATGTGATGACAGTTTTGGGGGGCTGTCCTGACCGCCGTCCTTTGATCAGGGAGTAAGGGAGGACCGCCAGCCCTGCAGTGCAAAGTCCTTGGGAAGCCCAGAAGCCGCCCGGGGTCCCCCATCTCAACACCTGTGGACGCCCCGAGACCCTGGCAGAGCCCAGGGAGTGCTGGGTGCTGGCCCAGGCCACTCCGCCGCCCGCCTGCCTGGTCCCATCCCAGAGAACCCCAGAAACAGAGTCCTCGTCTGGTGTGAACAGAGGGAACAATTTCATTTCGTTTTCCGGGTTCCTCTCTCCCACCAGGGCCGGGGTCCCCGTGCAACCGTCCCAGCCTCGCCACACGTTGGGGGGACTCGAGGCAAGGAGTGTCCACGGCTTCCCGGGGCCCTCGGAGGAAGGTCACCCTCCCAGCCTTGCCCGCTGCGAGTTGGCTCTGCTCCACCCGCTCCTGGTCCAGGCAACAGCGGTGGGGGCAGGACCGCCCTGCGGGGCTCGCTGGGCCTGGGAGGAAACTGAGGCACGGCGAGGGGAGCACCTTGCTCAGTGTCCCGTGATAAGGAAGTGGCTGCCCGAGAACTCCAGTTTTCTGCCTCAGTGCCCCAAATCGTTCGCGTCCTGGAGCGGGAAAAACTCTCCTGAGAGCGGCTCTGTCCTTTCGGGAAGCCAGGGCATGGGGCCGCTGCTCAGGCCGCTGGGTGGGCGGGGGAGGAGGGACGCCCAGCGTGCGCCCCGAGGGTCATCCTCGTCCCTGGGTCCCTCTGCGGGCTCCTCCGGGATCCCAGGAGAGGTGGCCCTCCGCCGTCCCCGCGCCTGGGTCTGGGCGCACCCTGGTGGGATGAACCTCCCTGCCCCCTCTCCTGCGTGGCTCCTGGCAGCTGCAGCCGGAGCCCACGGGGCTCGGGTCACGGAGAGGCGGCTCCTGAAGGCGGTGGGCTGTGTCTCTCTCTCCTCATTCAGGCGCCTGGGGGGCCTGTCACTTCCCGATGCCCCCCGGAGCTCTCCCTGGCACCCCTTTGTCCTGTCTGGGGGGTGGCACGGGCCCTGTGTGCCCGGCCGGCCCTGCTACAGTGCCGCTTGTGGTGGCCCTTCCGGGGTTGCCATAGGCACGGACCCCCGGAGCCGAGAACAAGGGCCGCCCGCGGGGTCCGCGCCCGGGGCTGCCAGCTCCAGGCTGCTCATTATGCTGCATGTTTTTGTTTTAAATTACCTTCCCCCGTGAGCCAGCCAGCGCGTGTTTTACTCCCACTCTAAGCGCTGTTGACAGATGTGTTAATTCATGTATTTAAACAGATATTTAGCAGCCGGCAGAAGATCCAGCTAAAAATAGGTCATCTTCCAAAATGGGCTCTTTCACACCGGCTGCCGAGCGTGGCTATCGGCGTGGCTCGTGGCTATCGGCGTGGCTCGTGGTGGGGCCGGTTCCCAGGGGGCCACTCGAGTGTGGACGGCAGGCCCCAGGTGCAGGGGCAAGAGGGCGTGCCCTCGGCGGGGGACTGGCAGCACCTGGCCCACCAGGAGCGCGTGGGCGTCGGAGGGGCAGCAGCCGGCGTCCAGGTCTCTGCTCTGGGTGGGGGGCTGGGCTCCCGCTCCTGTTCCGATTGGGGGTTTGCTGTTTGCAAAATGAGGGGTTTGGCCTGAGTGGTCTCAAAAGGGCCCTTCAACCCCAGGAGAGCCGGAGGCTCCAGGCCGAGGGGGAAGTGGGCAGGGCTGGTCTAGGCGCTTCCTGGTCTGAGGTCCCGGCCAGGATGGAGGCCCCTTGAGACCCCTTGGTTTCCGGGGAGTGCAGCTCACCCCAGAGCGGAAGGGCTGGGGCTCCGGGATGGAGACAGCTGGAGAGACTGGAGCCCTCAGCTGGCCCCGCTGCCCTCTGGGGGCCCCTCGGTCCCTCCCCCTCAGCCACGTGCCTGGGGGCTCTGCATGGCAGGGGCCTGGAGTGGGGCCAGGAGGAGCTCGGGCCTGGAAAACGTGGGCAGCATGACGCTCCGTCTGTCTAGGAGGCAGGTCCTGTTCTTGTCCTGCCGTGCCCCAGGGCCACTCCTGCCTCCCCCACCTAGCCCCGGTGACCTGACCCCGCGTGGGGAGGACTGTCCCACCCCCAGGACTCCTGGAGACCTCGGGCACCAGATCCCGGCTGACCTGTGACTGATCAGGGAACCTCCACCGCGGTCCTCACCTTCCTGAGCTCAAGAGTGACACAGTTCCGGGCTCCGTCCGACCCGGCATGTCCGAGCGGCAGAGCGGGGTGCGTCTGCTCCTGGTACCGAGTCTTTAGGGGCATTCGTCGGGGTTCTCTAGAGAAACAGCCGGCAGGATGTGTATATGGAGAGACAGAAAGGGGAGAGAGGGAGGGAGATTACACAAGCACGGAGCCAGGAAGTCCCAGCGTGTGCGGCTGTCTGTGAGCTGCAGGCCCAGGGGAGCGGAGGGGCATGGAGTCGGGGGGCTCGGGGTCTGGGGGGCCGAGCACCAGGACTGCCGCTGCCCCAGGGCAGCAGATGACACCCCAGCTCGGCACAGCTGGCAGGCCCCCTCTGCCTCTGCCTTTGTCCAGCAGTCAGGCAGGTGGCTGGCAACGCCTGCTTTGGCGAGGGGCCGTCTTTTCCCATCTCCCCCGCCCCCCTGCCCGCTCGAATGCCCGTCTCTTCCCGAAACGCCCTCGGACAGCGGGAAACGGTGACTCTTTCCCCGGCGTCTGCACGTCCCTCGGCCAGGCCAAGTTGACACAAAATAGCCCCCACGTCGGGGGCCTGCTGTCCAGGCGCTCACGGATGTGGGACGTGAGAAGGAACTTCCCCCCTCCTCCGTCATCCCGAAGACCCGAGAGTTTTCAGCACAGACGTTTCGAACGGCCGGGCTCGAGACCTTGTCCCTGGGGGGTGAGGGACCCCTGCGGCACGTGCTGGGCGGTCTGGCATGAATTCTCTTTAAACTGGAACCCACAGGGCCCACTAACCTATAACGACGCGCCCCAGGCCCTTGGCCGGTGCTACGGTTTCCAAGGTGCTTCCGCTGGGCTGCCGGCCCCCACGTCCTCCCCTCCGGTTTTCTTGCGGCTCCTCTCTCTGTCCCGCGTCTGAGCTGCTGAGGTTGGGACCGGCGTCCTTCTCCTTCCCGGGGGACCCCACATTCTCCAACCTTGTGTTCTCAGTGTCCGCCAACCGGCTGCTTTCCGTCCAACGCTTTGAAACGAAAATGAGTCTGTGGGGCCGTTTCAGCCCCGGACGCATCCAGCGGGAGCCGCGTTTACGGGTGACCGGCGACCGCTTAGTTACACGGCGATCACGGTCAGCGGCGGGGCGGTCGCTCAGCAAGTGCCACGTCATCAGTGTTGTTGGCCCTGGTTACCCCGGTCGCCCCAGGCACAGGGGGGCTGCACCGTGACTGCCTGCGGACCTCGCAGATGCGGGCGAGACGCGACCGCCGCGGCCTGGGATTGCCAAGGACGCAAGCGCGCATGTCCGGCGAGCACTCTCAGGAGCTGCTGGGGTGGCGAGGCTTTACTCCGGTCTGTGGCCGCCGTCCCCGCTGGTTCATGCGGTTCCTTCATGTCTTCAGGACCAAAGAAGAGGTAAGGAACCAGGATTGAAACCACGAGTCTGGGCCGGGCGCGGTGGCTCACGCCTGTGATCCCGGCACTCTGGGAGGCCGAGTCCCTGCCTCTACTCTTGTGGGCGCAGACCCAGAAGTGAGCCTGCAGGACCAAATGGCAATCCCATGTTTAGTGTTCGGAGGAACCTCCGTGCCGGTTTCCATAGAATTCCCTTAAAGCCCAGATCACATCCTCCCCCGTTGGACCTCCGATGCCTCTGGGTGGGTCCCCGGCCCCCCGTTCTCCCGCCGTTGTGTCCCTGCTGCTCTGGGAGTGGTCTCTCTCCTCTGCCCCTGCAGGCGGCTTTGCCCGGGGCTCTGGGCACCTGCTCCTGCCAGCCCAGCCAGGGCTGGTCCACAGCGTGGGCAGTCCCCTGGCGCTGGGGGCCCCTCCTGGCTCCGACTTGTCCCCCACACGAGGGAAGATTCGGCAGAGGGAAGGGACGGCTCAGGGGCCACTCCGTTTTCCAGGCCTGGACCTGGGCACGTTTGTGGAAGGACGGGAATGAGTGGACAGGGCTCTCTGGAGGAGTCACCTGCTATGGAGGAAAGCGTAGCAGGAGTGAGGCGTCTCTGGGGGGGGGGGGAGGAGTGGCAATGTCGGTCTGCAGTTGCATTTCCAAAAACTGCTGTTTGAAAAGCAGTTCTGCAATCGAAACGGTAACTTGGGAATCCTGGCGGCCCCTCAGGAGATGGAGGTTGGACAGCCAGGGGGAAAGAAGGATTTTACCCCCAATCCCCACGCGGCAGTTTGCCCGGCCGAGCCGGGGGTCCGGGTGGGAACTCTCTGTCTAGAATCATCTTCCGCAACCCCAGAGCCCCGGCGAGTGACGAGGTTGAATTTTTTGTAGGAACCGTCCCCGTGACGTCTGATTTAGGGGCACCTTTTACTTCTGAACGGGAAACCGAGGCCTGTCGGGGGGTGGGGAGCTGCTTCAGACCAGTTATGAATATATTTTGGATCAGCGAGCTCACCACACTCCTGGGAAAAGGACTTCTGCGGACCCGTCTCATAAACCTTGTGTTTTCCGTGGATTTGTCTTGGTAAAATGCACATTTCGGTGATGATGTGAACTTTATCCTATTGATATAAATACTCAGTGTTTGTGCAAAGCTGTAACCATGGTGAGTATATGGAGCACTTTAAGTAAATTTGTTCCCTGACAGTTTCTGTCATTAGACACACTGTTCGTTCTGCATTCGAAAATAGCTCGTGAGCGCCGCTCAGACCCGGTCCCAGGGGCACGGGTCCTTGTCCTGGCAGTCCTCGTGCACCTGTGCCTCTCCGTGAGCAGACCCTGCGGTGAAGGGCTGGCCGGGGTGCTGGGGCGAGTGCAGGTGCCACATCAGCCCTGGGGAGCCTGGTGTCCGGGATGAGCCTGTGCGGAGGAAACCGGGGTCAGAAGAAGGCGGCAAGGCCCCTCCCTGCGTTCTTTGGGACCTGTCGTGCGTCCAAGAGCAGCTGTTCTTACACAGGCATCCGGGGTGTAAGTGCTGCCTTGCGTGGCCCACGAGGGTCTGGACTGACGTCCGGAAGGTGCCGTGTGTCCGACGGCTGTTCCCTAAGGTGCTCGCGTTCCCTTTTGTGCAGCCGGAGGGGCCCCTTTGCTCCAGGTGTGGCCGCAGGCGCCCTGGTCTGATGGTCACCTTTGGTAGGGGCTGCCCGCTCCGGGGCTCTGGGGCTGGGCGTGGAAGACCACGGCCGCCGACTTCAGCCCACAGCCGCCACACCCAGAGAAACTCGCCCTGAGAGCCTCCTCCCAGGAGGGTCTTGCCTGGTCCACCCGACGGCTTCCAGGATGGTGGAGCAAACAAGAACGCCGGGACTTCACCCTGGCGTTGCCTTAGACCCTCTGACAGCCGGGCTGTGGCGGCGCCAGACACAGCCAGCCCCGCCCCTCCCGTGCGACAACACGTGTCAGGCGCGATGGCGACTTTACCTGTAAACGATCGTCGGATCGCAGCCAGTAAACCCCACGGAAGTATGGATAAGCCAAAAAAAAGTTCTGGATCAAAGAAAACGTTTCTCCTAAAAAGGGAAGGAAAAATCAGTGCATTAGAAGTTGCAAAAATGCAACCCTCATTTACCTGGAAATAAGTGTGGGAGCTGGTCGCACCTGCTGAGCAGCAGGGCGTCAGGCCCACGACGCCCAGGGAGGGAGGAAGCCGGGTGCACACGGTCGCACCTGCCAGGGACCTGCCAGGGGGAGCCGCCCTTGTGGGTGGGGCTGCCCGCACCTTTCCAGTCACCTCTGGGACAGCAGCTGCCACGACGGGCAGATGAGCAGGGCTGCTCGTCTTCTTTCCCGCTCCGTGACGACATGCATGGGTGGTGCAGACGCGCTGCGATGCCACGCCCGTCACTGGGGCTTATTTTCGGGGTGGGGCTTCTGTTGCGCACATGCTTAGAAATCCTGCTGGGGCCTATTTTATGGGTAGGTCTTATTTTCAGGGAAACACGGTATCTACTTTCTAAAGTTGGGTGGGGGCTGGAGGAGGGGGTGCCGTGGGCAGGACCACAGCCTGCCGACCCACCACTCCCTGACCACGCATGACAGGCCTGCGGGGGTCCCTGTCCCAGCCGGGGGCCCCGAGTCGGTGGTGGACGGAGAGGAGAAGGGCTGGGAGGCCCTGTAGGCGCCGCTGGCTGCTTGTGGTGCTAGAATCCTCCGAGACATGAGCAGCATCGTGCAGAGAACAGCAGAGGCCACCGTGCCACTTCAGGAGGAAAACTGACCGGGAACCGGCTGCGCTGTGGTCCCTGCCGGGGACAAGGGACCCCAGCAGAGGTGGCCCCTGCGGCTGGCTCCAGGACGGCGTTGGGACCGGCTCCAGGGGTGCCAGGACCTCGAGCGGCCGGTGGCTTCTCCTCCGTGCCCACCCGGTGAGACCCGGGCAGGTCTTTCTGTTTACTCCCCTGACAAAGGAATCGGGGCTGCAACCTGCTTTCCAAATGAGCGCACGGCAGGTTTATTTTCCGCAGAAAGGTGTAAGATGAACAGGAAATGTTATTTCAGAGAACTTGCGCAAGGTGATTATTTACGGATGCTTCACCCACCCTACGGCTTCCCGTGCTGGTTCACAGGGTAATGGTTTCTATAATTACCTGTGTTTAGAAATACCTTCATGCAAAGCAGTAAACACACCTCCTACCGAGAACGGCGACAGTCTCTCTTCCTCCGTGGTGAGTGAGCTTTTCTCCGGCCAAAGCCTGACATTACTTTCATTTTTTTCAGGAGCAACGTGGGACAGAGAAGGCTCGGGGCCAGTGGGGTTCTCGGCCTCGGGGCTTTGGCGCCTGTTCCACGCCAGGCTCCCGGGGCTGCTGCTGCATGGTGCCCGCTGAGGGCTGACCGGGGCCGCGTGGGAGGGACCAGGTGCAGACGCCGTCAGGGTGCATGGAGTCCCCCCACTGTGCACCACAGAGCCCAGCAGCCCTGCTCTTGCCCCGGCTCTTGCCACGGCCGCTGGGGAGCTCCTGCCTCAAGGGTAGGCCACCTGGTCCCTGCCTGTCCCTGGCTGCCCTCTGTCCACTGGCCAGGCCCCACCCACTCTGACCCCTGGCCTCAGGCTGGAGCCTCTCGGATGCTGTCCGTAGTGAGCCCTCTAAGCGAGCAGGGCCAAGATGCCGACAGGAGGGGACGAGGAAGTGAGATAGACGAAACGGAAGTAGGTTGATTTCGCAGCTCTGTTCTTCCTTGTGGGACGTTGTCATTCTTACCTTAGCTGTTAAGATGTTCTTTATGATTGATGGAGAGCTGTGATTTAAAATGATCATTTCAGCCAGACACGGTGGCTCACGCCTGTAATCCTAGCACTCTGGGAGGCCAAGGCAGGAGGATCCCTCAAGGTCAGGAGTTCGAAACCAGCCTGAGCAACAGCGAGACCCCGTCTCTACTAAAAATAGAAAGAAATTAATTGACCAACTAATAGAAAAAGTTAGCCGGGCATGGTGGCACATGCCTGTAGTCCCAGCTACTCGGGAGGCTGAGGCAGGAGGATCCCTTGAGCCCGGGAGTCTGAGGTTGCTGTGAGATAGGCTGACGCCACTGCACTCTAGTCCGGGCAACAAAGTGAGGCTCTGTCCCCCCCCAAAAAATAAAATGATCATTTCTTGTCCCCCTCCCCACAGCCCTGCGTGAGTTTTCCAAATCAGCAGGTGCGTGCTTGTGGAGCGGTGTGTGAGGAAGCCTCGGCCCGGCCCACAGGCCCGACATGGCACTTTAGAGTCACGCTGGTCCATGCACCCAGGCCTCACATGGACACGGCATGGCGCGGGACCCAGGAGCCGCTGCCCACGTGAGGGCCCCGATGGTTGCACGCAGGATGCTGGGTGTGATGTCCAAGGGCTTGGCCACTTCGCAGTGGGTGTGGCCGAGAGGGACACCGCGTGGCTCGGGGACTGGGCGTGGAGACAGCCCAGGTGGGTGCTCGCCAGCTGGGCCTTCCTGTGTGAGAGCCCAGTGACATGGGCGCAGGCCCTGCGGCCCCACCCTGCGCCGTGCGGGGCCTCGCCCGACAGGCTCCGGCGCCCGGTCTGGGACCCGCGCTGCAGGAGGTGCCTTGACTTCTCTCCACCCATCCATCCACGAAGTGGGGGCTCGTGGGGCGGCAGCCTCCTGGGGGCCCACCTGCTCTGCACGTGGTGCACACGCACACACACACACGTGTGCTCACCCGTGTGCGCACACAGGAGCAGATTCTCTCCCATCTGAGGGGCCATCTGGGCGCGGCCCTGGAAGCCGCCCAGGCGGGAGCAGGACAAGCCCCAGGCCTGCTGTTCGCCGGTGCCCCGCCGGGCCAGGTGTGGCGCCTCTGCCTCTTCCTCCTCCTCCTCCTCCCACAGGTTAGTGGCTCCAGGTGCATCGTGTGACATACACGACATAAATAAGCCTTCCAGGAGCCTCCGACCCTGCCCGGCATCGAGCCACGTCCCCACGACCGGGGAAAACGTCTCTCCGGAATCACAAGCAACGCAGCCCTGCTCTCAGTTGGGATCCGTGTTCCCCGGGAGCCGCGTGCGTGCGGTGCGGTCTCTCCGGCCGTCCCTCCCTTGGCCTTGGCACCCAGGCGTGCAGCTGGCACGGGGTCTCCCCTTCCCCCGCCTGTGCGCATGCCTGTGGTTCAGGTGGGCTCCTGGGGGGCTCCGCAGAGAGACGGGCGGGAGGTCGCGGTCGGCCCCCCGGCGCCCGCTGGGCTGGACGGAGGAGCACGCGGACGGCGGGCGGGTGACGCCCAGCACGGGGCGAGCGCTGAGGGCCGGCACCGCCTGCATCCTGCCCGGACAGAAGCTGCCGAGGGTGGCACCAGCCGGGGAGACCGAGGCAGCCGGCTGGGTTCAGCTGCCTCCTTTGCCGCGTGAGCCGGTGTGGCAGCATGACACCGGCGACGCTCACAGTGGGACCATTTATGAAGTGCTTGCTGTGTGCCCAGCACGTCCAGCATTTCTGCACGGGCTCCAAAGCCACCCTGCAGGGCAGAAGCTCCCGCGACCCGCCCCAGAGAAGAGCCGGGCTGAGTCCTGGGCGGGGAGCGGGCACCGCAGCCCCCGCTGCTGCCCCAGCCGAGCGCATCCCTCCCGTGTGCAAACGTGCGGCGCCTCCCAGCTCCTCCCCAGCCCGCGGGGCCGCAGAGCGAAGGCCCGAGGCTCGGAGTGTGGTTAGAGGCCAATGAGTAGGGCAGACCCCACGACTCGGGAAGAAAAGACCGGTGTTCAAGTAAATGCTCGCAAAACCCACAAATACCCGTGTCGAGGGGCCCTGTCCCTCCCTGCTCTTCCTGCTTTGATCTCACTTTCAGAGTCACAGCAGAACGCTGGGGACACCAGGGATGGTCGGGCGGGGAGGGTGGGGGAGGCCCACCCACTTTTGCACCTGTCTGCTTGCCCTGCGTCCACACAACTGGCCGCCCACTGACGTCCCACGTGTCCCGCAAACTCTCCCCGAGGCCCGGCGTGCGACGGGTGCCTGTCTGGTCCTGAGGATCCAGAACGGCCCGGACTCAGCCCCTCCCTCCGAGGGACTCGCCGTCTCCTGCAGAATTGGACAAATACACGCATAACCCCAATATAATGAGATAGGAACACAGATGGCTTAGAGTTAGGTTTAGGGTTAGGCATAATTAAGGAAGCAGATGGGGAAATTCAAGTTAAAATTCAGTAAAATTT